TAAGATTCTACTAAATTAAAGCAAGCTATATTCTTAGTACTAATTTTATATTATTATAATTCTAATTTCTTTATTATAATTAAAATAGATATATTAAATAAAGTTATAGCTAGTATTCTCTTATAATAAAATCCCTAGATAGGATTCTAATAACAAGAGTTTTTATTATAAAAAAAATAGCTAGAATTATAGTCTTATATAGTAATAATAGCTTCCCGTTTTTAGTTTAATTAAATACCTTATTATAGGCGAGTTATCTCAAGTTCTATAGAAATTATTACTACTTTATTATAATTCTATTATAATATATATTACTACTAGCTAATAGTATATTTTTTTTCTCTTATAAAAACCGAGCTTTTAATATTTCTAGAATAAATAATATACTATTATAAGTAGTAATATATACTAAAAAAAATTCTGGGATTTCTTTATTTAGAATAAGAAATCTAGATAATAAGAGAAAAGAACAGGTAAAAAGCTTACTACTATTAAGTATTTTCTAGAACTATTTAAATAACTTATAAGTAATATAAAAATATAATAAAAAAAGAAAAAAAGTAAAAGAATTTAATTAAAATTCTTGTAATAAATAAAGTTCATATAAAACTATATTATTAATAAGCCTCTAAATTATATCTAACTTGCTATTAGTAAGCTATATTAATATTCTTTTTTATTAGGAGATATCATTTCTCTTTCTTAGAATAAATAAAATAAAAGACATTAAAATTCTTTTTATTTTTTATTCTATTTATATCCTTTATATTAAGAATATTCCGGTTCTGCTATATAGCCTTTAAAAGAACTAAAACAGCTTTCTATTTCCTATATCTCTCTTAAAACTTATTCTAGTCTCAATTATATAATAAGAATAAAAAAAATATAAACTAGAAAGATTTATTAGTAATAAGAAATTCTTTAAATATTTAGATCTTTTATTTTCTAATTACTTTAACTGGCTTTAATATATTTTTATATAATAAGGAAATAGTTCTTATATAAGGCTTATTAGAATTATAAAGAAATAAAATATTCGTTTATAATAAATATTTCCCTAAACTTCTAATTATAAATCAGATCTATAAACTCTAATATTTTTCTATAAGTTATTAAAAAGAAGGCAAATACTAAGGGCCGAGGAACTAGCTTTAACTTCTTATTATTACCGAAAAAGTTAAAGGTAATATAAGAAGCTTAAGATTTTAAAGCTTTAGCTATAAGCTTTAATTATTTCGGGACTATCGAGATTTCTCTAGAATTAAGCTTAAAATTTTTCAAGAAAGTTAAAATTCTATCTATAGCTAGTAGTTTATTACTATTAAGGAATTTAGTTATAATATCCTATAGATCTTGAAAATCTTTAGTATTATTAAGGATTTTGGAAAGAGTACCCTATAATTTTTAAGAATTCTCGGTATTACCGAGAATTTTTCTAGAAAGCTTACTATTAACAAGAATTTTGCTAGAAGGCTTACTATTAATAAGGAATTTAGTAAAAGGCCCAAGTATTTTAGTAAAAGGCTCGGTAGTATTAAGAAATTTCGCTAGCTAGGCTAGAGAAGCCCTAATAGAAATAAAACTTTTTATTATTATTTAGTATTAATTATATACTTAAGAAAATAGAATCTAATACTATATTTTATATTAAGAAATAGGCTTATAAAAATCAGTCTATTATAAAAGCCGGGTTTTCTTAAAAGAAATATAAGAATTAGTATTAATAAGGTTTTTAAATAAAATATAAGCCTTTTCTAATATATAACTATAATTAATTTCTTGTTATAAATAAGTATTTATAAAGAGCTTTTTTTTTTCTTTATTAGAAATAATATAATATTAAAAGAAAAGTAAAAATAATATTTAAAATCAGCTTTATATAAACGAAAATCTTTACTAAAGGAGCCTATTAGCTAAGAAAAGCTTTATTTATATTAAGAATTTTTTTACTATATCTTGTTTCTAATAATCTTTTATATTAAAATAATTTCAAAATAGTAACTATAAATAGTTTCTTTAATATAGCCGAGAAATTAAATAATAATTTTGATTTTAATACTAATTAATCTAATATTACTATAGTATAAGAATAGCTTATTAATAACAAGTATTAAGCTTATATTAAAGAAAATATTAACTTTAAAGAAAGAATAAAGAGAATTATTAGAACTTCTAAATCTATTCTTATATTATAAACTCTAAAGGCTTATATTTTATTAGTACTAATTTCCTTATAAAAAGCTTGTTTCTAATAATTTTTTTCAGGCTTTATAAGTAATTTATAGCTTTTATTACTTTTAAATATCCTTAATAAGGCAAAAAAAAACCTTAATATTGCCTTATTTAAATATCTATAGTATATTTATAAATGAATTGAGTTTATTTATTAACTAAAAGGCTTATTATAACTAAAGAAACTTCTTAATTTATTAGAAATAAAAGATTATATTATTATTTACTTATAAACTTTAAAAATAAGAGTAGTAGTAAGTTTTTGATTTGCTTTTATATATCCTTAGTATTATAGTAGTTTAGAATAAGTTTAAGTTTATAGAATAGAAAAGTAATAGAAAAATCTCTTATTATTATTAACTATTTCAAAATATATAAAAGCTTTAAATAAGCTTAAGATAAATTCTTATTTCTAATAATATATTATTTTATTTAGTTTATTACTAGTAAGAAATAGACTATAGAAAGTAAAGTATTAACGAGCTCTTATATTTTAATTTATAAGAACTTATATAAAATATAGAAGTTTAATTAATAGCTTTTAAAATAAGTATTTGAGAAAAAGCTTATTTATAATAAATATATTTATACTTAAAATAGCTCTAATTACCGGAAAATAATACAAGCTATTTATATATTTGATTTTTAGTATTTATTATAGACAAATAAGATTCTTTCTTTTTAAGCTTATTATATTATAATATTTAATAAAAAAGAAAAGAAAATTAAAGTAAATCTTCTATTTCGGAAAATAAATTAGTATAGAAATAAAAAAAATCATCTTAAACAAGCTTTTTTAAAAGATTTATTACTAATAAGTAAATAGAAATCAAGCTCTTTATCTTATATTTAAATATTAATAAGCCTTATTTTTATCTAGTTTATATTCTTTTAAAATAGATTAAAGTATTTTATATAATATAAAGATATATATTCCGGTAAATTAATATTTAAAATCGAGTTATATAAAGAAATAAATTACTTATAAAATCTCTTTTAATTTCCTTATTATAAATGTTTTTTTTGAGATTTTCTTATTACTAATAATTAATTAAGAGGCCTCTACTTTTATAAAGTATTTTAAATATAATCTTTTTAATATTAATATAAATTATAGGCTATATAGAATTTACTCTCTTTAGTAAAAGAACTACTAGTAGCTTTATTTAGAAAAGAGATAGGGCTTAAGAAGAATTTATAATTAGGGTAATTAAAATACTAATTTTAATTTAAGTTTAATTATTAGATATTTAATTAGCTGAAATAATAATTCTATAACTTTAAAAGAGAACTTTATAAACCCTAATTAGTTTAGAAATATAAAGTATTATATTTATAGAAAGAAGTATATTTGTATTAGTAAATAAAATATTTAAAAAGATTTACTAGAAATAAGACTTTTTTTTATATTTAAAGAAGTTCGGTATTAATAAGTTTTTAATTAATTTTAGTATATTACTAAAATAATACCTTATTTAAAATAATCTTAATTTCTTCTAATATAAATACTATACTAAACTTAAGAAAAGTAATACAAATTCTTTATTTCTATTAAGCTTTCTTAATTTCTTATTTCTATTAAGCTTTTTTACTTAAATCTATATTTCATTTCCTAAAGTAATTTAAATAGTAGTAATATAATAATTACTATTAATTAAGTCCTAAAGCTTATTAGTAATAAGCTTTATTTAATAGAAAATAGATTTACTATAACTATAAGATTTCCATTTTATAAAACAATATAGTAAAAAGTATTAAGAGTTATAAATATCTAAAAAGCTTATTAATAATAAGCTTTTATTAGAAGATTAAAAGAATAATAATATATAAGGTTATTACTAATAACTTAACTATTTTGGTTATAAATAAAAAGGGTATTAATACGGTATTTTATAAGAAGTTTAATAGTAATAAGCTTTTATTTATAATTATAAGAAAGCAGATTTTTATTATTTATATTAAGAGATTTATCTAAAAGCTTATTAGTAATAAGCTTTTTTAGATAAGAAATATAGCTTAAATACTTTAACTAATATTACTATTTTGCTTATAGGGCTAGTAAAGTCTTTTAATAAACTTATTAGTAACGAGCTTTTATTAATATAAAGATTATACTTACTATAGTTATTTCTTAGAGCAAGTAATAAGATAATTAGAGTAAGCTTAAAGAATTTCTTATAGAGCTTAGTAAGTAGTATAATATTAAATATAAGCTCGTTAGTAACAAGTCTTTCAAAGCCTTATTCTCAATGAGATATATATATAGATAGTTAATTTTAAAGGATATTAATATTCTAATTAGTTATTTGAATGCCATTTTAAAAGGTAAACTGGAAAAATATAGTAAGTAATACTAAAAGCTTATTAGTATCGAGAATTCAAGTTTGCTTATTAGGGGCAAAGATATTGCATACAAGTTAATGTTTTATTGTGTTTTTGGTAGGTTAAAGGAGGTATATAGAGAGTGTAAATATATGCGAGGTTATAGTAAGTCACGTGGTACTTACCCGATTAGGAAAGGTGGGTCGTGCACGTGCCCCGGCAGAATCCGCTGCCGCCCCTAGGCAGCGTATTATTTCGGAATGAATTCTTGAAATTCAACAAAAGATCGCTCGTCTGCTGAAAAGGATTTAGGCACGTGCTGGAAAGCCTTGGCATGACATGAAAGGAGTTCGCTTAAGCTCACAGAGGGACTGTCCATTGCGCTGCCATTAGCATTGCGCTTCCGTAATCAAATAGACACACAAAAACACAGTCAATTCAATGTCCGTATTCAAGTTTCCAAAATCTTGATTTGGTAGTCTAAAAACGCACGTTTCAGTACAATCCTGGTGACAACGCCCCCGCTTCCAATACCTTCAAAACTTGAAACACAACATGATTTTACAATGACAGAACTCCAAATAAACGCCTCCACTTCGTCGACGTAGCTTCAGCTGATGAAATCCCTCCTTGCGCTCGTCGTCCTTGAGCATATTGATGATCGTCAGACGTTGAACCGGGTCCTTCACTCCCTTGAATGCAACATAATTGGCGTACTTGGAGAAGGTGGTTCGAATCAATTGGTCGCCGTCGCCATCTTCATGGTTGATCATCGTTGCGTCTCCCCCATTGTCTTCCTGCTGCTCCTCCTCGGTTTCTGCTTCGTATTCGACATTCGAGGTTAAAGTCGAGTCTTCTTCGACTTGCGCCAAGACAGGAGTCTTCTTGACAGGGACTTTTTTGGCGAGCGTCTTCTTAGCAGTAATCTTCTTGACTGATGACTTCTTAGCTGGTGTCTTGACGGGAAGCCTAGCCTTAGCAATGCGCTTGCCGATGCGACCTGGAGGTGCTTGATGAGGAGCTACGCGACCAGAGCGCAAAGCGTGGCCTGGAATCGGAGGCGCTGGCGCGTCTTTAGCTGGGGTCTTTCTCGGAGGAGCCATTGAATAAAAGATTGAAGCCTTTGAAGTATGAAGGGCTATTGAAGGCTTATGATAAAGTGCGGCAAAATATTTGGTGCAAGAACCAGTGTGTCAAAAAAGTAATCAAGGTATTCCGAATATTCATGAATATTCATGATTAGCTTGAATAGAATATAATTACTGCAATGCTTAAATAATTTGATTAGATTAGAATATATAATCATGAATACTCATGAATACTTTGATTACTCTACACGTGACTATAGCATGTGATACGCTAGCCTGATTAAGTAGAGGCCCCGCTCTAGTGTCGCCTTAGCGCCACCTCGCTGCCTAATTAGTAGGCGAAAGGCTTGCAAAGACGATTCTAGATCGGGAGCCATACCTAATTAGGCTAGTATATCACGTGCGACAGTCACGTGTACAGTAATCAAAGTATTCATGAATATTCATGATTACCTTAATTAGAATCTGATTAGAATATAATTAGTGGGTATTTTTGATGAATAGATTAGATTACTAGCCAGTATTCTATTCTATTCTATTCATTTGACACACTGGCAAGAACGGGAGGAAACATTGAAAGGCTGATAGCTACTCGCGAAGCCTTATTATTTATATGCCCTTGCCCTACCCAAGCAGGCAAGTGTTAGTGTTTCCTTGTTTCATCATACACATAGATTGGCGATATTTACACTGGTAAAACTCTGAGCAATGCTTTTGAAAGATAACATTGGATCTATGACATAGAGTCTACATGTTCTCCCAGCTTGAAGAATCCAGGCTGCAACTTTTGAAATACACCTTCGGGATCCACTTCTTTCCTGATTCGTCTAAGCCTTCTCAGACTCTCATTTCCATAACCGCTAAACACATCTTGTTCCTCATACGCGTGGTTCTGAAATAGATATGGATGAAGCATTCCAAGTTCCTCTGCTCGCTGTCGAAACCGAGTTGTCAATCGCCGCATGAAGTTTGTCATCAACCAAATATCCGATTCAGAATTCCAATGCAAATTGATATTGACAACTAAAGCAAGATGTCAGCAACTCTGTTCCCTTCTGAGTATTCTTCGGGTGACTTACTAGTCAATGGTCCATCCTTGGGATCAATACCCAAAGCATTGCCACCACGAGTCTGCATTTTCCGCAATGTCTCAACTGTAAGTGGATTGTACACTATATAAATTTGCAAGCCCGCAGCTTTCTGTATCGAAAATACTTCTTCACAAAACGCATCTGCCAAAGCCAAGTGGATTGTGGCGTGGTTCTTCACAGTCACGGAACCAAAATAATTGTAAAAGCCGGGAGCGTTCATGATGTCCATCTTTTGTGACATCTGCAGTGTTGATCGCTGATAAATGTACGTTTCTCGCACATTAGACTGCTTAGAACTCAGTTCACCAGCGGGATAATGTAGACTGCTCGACAATTTGGGAAGTCCAGACCCGACGATTCTTTCTGATATCACGAATTGCCGTGTGGGAACGTGCCATCCGAAAGTTGTAGCAAGCTGCCATACTTCGCTCGGCATCTGAGCAGTATAGTCTTGCAACCTTTGGAAGATAACACCTAAGATACCAATGTCCCACAGTTGAAAGGTATACCAAGTGGGAGGATCTCTGAATGCCTCGATTACAACGCTTGTCACGATGGCGAAGTTGTTCCCACCTCCTCGCAAAGCAAAGAATAGGTCGGGGTAGGAATTATGGGTGACATTCACAAGTGTGCCATTCGCAAGTACAGCTTCGAAAGCAACGGCGGTGTCACATGACCAGCCGAAACGCTGTGAGAAGAAAGAGATGCCACCTTAATTATTCGGGTCAGTAACAAAGAAGGGTAGACGTGGATCAAGAACATACCACCAAGAATAGAACCAGTAACTCCCGTCAAGCTATTCCGTGTTCCAGTCGCCGACATGTTTCTCGGGTCCAATTCTCGATACACATCTGCCCAGACAGCACCAGCACCAACTTTGACATGCAATAAATCATTGTCGACAAGTTGCACTGACTTCATCCGTTGCATGTCAATAGTTATACCGCCCTCAGCATTCGAGGCATATCGGAAAGGCGAAGTCCCTCCAGCAAGGACTGCAAAGTGGCATTGGTATGCTTTGGCGACGGTGAGAATCTTTGATACAGCGAAGGCATCTTGTGGCTCAACTCTACATTGAGGAACTGATTCTGCTTGGAAGTTGGACCAGAGATTGGACTTGGCTGTCTGCCCGAAGAAGACTGAGCCGGGTAGGATCTCAGAAAGGTTCCGACACTGGTGAGTGAATCAGTGAGGAGGCTTTTGAGAAAGGATCACATGAAGACTTACTGCGCTGTCACATGGTAGTTGACCTCTGACGAAGGGAGAAATGATGGAAAGTACCACTACAGAGGCGATTGGCAACATTTCTGAAAAGGAATTGCCAGGAATACGGAGGGCTGGCGCGGTCAGTGATACTCCTTAGTCTTAATAGCGGAGAACTCGGAAGTATCTTGTTAAACATGCAGCTTACCCAGACACACGAATCCGTGTTTGACGTCTTACTTTACTCCGCGTGGCACAGGATAAGAGCATCCTGCTTTAGAACTCCACCGCCACACTTGTATGGTAACACTGCAGTCGTAGAAGCTTGCAACTACCGGTTCATCCAATAGGCAGTGCTGTAAAGATGATCAAGGGTAAGTCGAAGGTCACTAGTGCTTATTATCCTTCGATTATGTGAACCTGTACCATAGAAAGTAAATGGCGTGAACATTCCCGTTTCGTCAACCGCATATGAAGCAATAAATCACGCCTCGGTATGTTTCCTTCGATAAGTTGTATAGACCAGGGAGTAGCATGAGGCACAGTAATTGCTCCCTGTACGGGTGTAACAGTCCTAGCTCCGACTTTTTGATCGTTGCCAATTACAAGGGTGCTTGACTAGTCGATTTCACAGCAAGAAAAGTTGCTTCCGATTGGTTCCCGAATCCCGACACTACTCGGTCATCACAAAACTTCTTGGTAACACAAGTGAGAATTACAGTAAAATACAGAACTTACTTACACCCTTGATATATTTTGGCCCCAAGGACAATATTCAGTCCTGGCATGGTCATATGTGAGCGAAGTCGGGCGTGGCACTCAGACTGCCCCAGGAAACCACAAGTTACTCTTTCCTTGACACCAGTTATCTGTACCACACTTACTGTCATTGTCTGATTGAAGTCATGGAGGATGATGAAAAACAATCCAAACGTCTACTCTCCAGTGAGGACTCTGAGAACATACCTGCAGTCAAACATAGGCATTTGAAATCCCGAGTCAAAACACCTCAGTTTATTCTTCTTTGCGTGGTGTTTGAGATTGCACATTTTCTCCTTGTGTGGAGCGTATATGATGGAGTTCAGAGAGTGAGGAGTTCCAAGCTTCCTGACTTAGACGGCCGTAGGTCATCAGCAAAATCGGGAAGTTCTAGAAGTGCGTACTGACTTAGTTTGCTTCAGTTCAAAAACTCAAGGAACAAAATGTGCTGAAGGTTTTCAACAATGACAATAAATGGACAGAGGATACCGAGTTCGCAAACAATTTTTGGATGCACGAATTGATGCCGAGTAAGACTGCCACTATTATCATCTTTCGTGATGCTGAGCTTCTTTAACTGATATAACAGAATCCGCTATTCTTTCCTTGGATGCTAAATGGACTGCTTCTCAAGGAATACCACCTTCGGCTCCAACACCAGGCAAGCCAAATGAGATGGTCTACCAGACCGACGTCTTCCACAACCTTCATTGCCTCGTAGGTGCTGTCGAATGAGACTATTTTCACGTCTGCATTACTAAAGTCATCGAATAGTATCGAATGCGAAAACAACTTCTTTCAAACGAATCGCATCCCCACGATGGCCACATGCTTCATTGCTTGAACTACCTCCGACAATCATTCCAGTGTAATCCAGATCTGATGTTCGGAACAACTACGACTTATGAGGACTACGGACTACATGATGTACATGTGTGTCGAGACTACGATGCCATTTTGAAATGGGTGGACGGTCACAAGTGCGAAGGGTTCTGGGAATGGATGCGTGATGGATCGAAGGGGATAAAGGCAGACCCAACTTTGGCTGATCCAGATAGTAAGAAAGTTCAATGAAGGGGAAGTAGAAGTCCTGATGTAGTTCCATTTGTCGTGCTGCGATCGTTGCTCGGGATGTAGAGATAGGTTCATTTCAGAAGAAATCTTTACTATTGGAACCATACTTTATAGCATCTGAAAGTCTTGATACACTCCTGATCTGCAGGATGAAACCACTTTGTGATAGATTCCCTTTGACGTCAGTGGCTAGCCATTCAAATGATTCTCCCTGGGAGTGTCTCCCACGCCACTTGGATTGCCCAGACTTGCCTATTACATCATAGTTGGAGGCCAAATATTTATAAAATTCACTGTATTAAGTGCTAATTTAATTTACCAGATCACTCTATAAAATGGATGCAATTAACTCTATTTTCGTCAATATTGCAGCTAACACGGTAGGAAATCGCTCCCCCCCTTTTGGGTTATTGCCCCCGTGACGGGGTAAAGCGAATTGCAATACAGTAAGACGTTTATGTTTCCTGAGGATAGCCGGAACCCGGCTGATTTGCATTGCCGCAAGGGTTTTATCCCTGTAAACTGCGCATGCTTATCCCTTCGTCCGGTGAGACATTGCCAGGCGCTAGCAAGGGGGGTGTGGCTGCACGCAAGCCTCACCTCGCTTTATCACGCTTCAAGAGGCTTGCGTGCAGCCACACCCCCCTTGCTAGCGCCTGGCAATGTCTCACCGGACGAAGGGATACTCCCTGAAAGTAATTCGTACAGACCGGGATTGAAAAGAAAAACAGTGTGCCCCTGCAAATCCCTGCAACACCCCTGTTCTGCTCGCGTAGAATTCCTAAAATATGGATATACGCCCAAAGCGGTAATGACAGGAGGCCGACTCTAATTAGAATGCATAAGCACCCTCTCTGGGCAAACCCTAGAACGGGTGCTTATGCATTTGAGAATTTGATTCCCTTCTAGCCCCTTTCCCCCGCACTTAGCAAGCTAATTTTTGTAGTTTTATTATAAAGGCTTTCTTTTTCGGCTACAGTCGGTCCGATTCAAAAGCGACAAAAAAAAAATTATCCCTATAATACTAATTAATATAAATCGTATTAATTAAAACTATACTATATATTCTAGGAATTAATTTTATATTCTCAAAATTATAATATCTTTATTATTAAGGGAGATATAATACACGTAATTAAGCGAGCAAATATATTCGCATTTTATATAATCGTTTTTTACTTTGCTTGTCACGTGACTGCTTCCCTAAATCAATTACTCTTTCACGATTATATTAATATCTTAATAATTACAAATTTAATTAAATGCCTTTTTAAATACTTCTAATAGCTATTTTTATAAGTTTTTAAAAATATAAATAAGCTAATTTAATTCTTAATTTAATTATAATTCTTATTATAATTAAAAAAGCTATAATTTAAATAATTATTAATAAATAATATAAGAAACCCTCTAATATAAAGAATAATTCAAATAATTCAAATATTAAATTAAGTAATAAAATAAAGCTTAAAGATTCGATATTTTTTAAATTTAATAAAAGCTTTTTATTAATAATAATAAGACAATTATTTTAAAGAAGCTTATAATTATATAGTGAAATTAGAGACTTAAAAACCAAACTAGTAAGTTTCTTATCTTATTTTCTTATTTTTATATTATAAGATAAATATATTAATATTATTTCTAGCTTTTAAAAGCTTATATAACTTTAAATTAATAAAGAAATTAGTAAAGCTATTAAGAACTTAATAATAATATATATATAACTAGAAAATAAAAGATATTTAAATTATAAAGTAATTTAATAGGCTTAAAACTCTTATAATTATATATATTTTTTAAATAAAAGAAGCTATAATTTAATATTATTAGAAAGCTAATTAATATTTTTAGAAATATATAATTAAGAGAAAAGTAAAGACTTAAAAAAAAAGATAATAAAATAAATAAGCTATTTTTAAATACTTTTATTAGAAATATTTATAAAAATAATAAAATTTTAAATATATAAATAACTTATTAAAAAGTTCTTAGTAATATAAATATTAATTTATATTTATTTTAGTAATATATTTAATAATTTCTAAAGCTAAAGTAATATTAACTATTAGTATAGCTATTCTTTCGGGAGTTATATATATAGTTATAAGACTCGGGAAACGGGATATAGGTAATGAAATATAAGTAATAGGATATGGGATACGAGATATAGTTATATAATCTTATATTTTATAGGTAACTCGACTACTAGACTAGACCCTATTAGGCTTAGTAGATTTAGGAATTATATATTAATACTATAATACTATAATTCTTATTTCTGAATATTAACTATTTTACTAACTTTATATACTAAGTATTTTATATATATTATATATTATATTATATATTACTAGTAAACCAATATTAATTAGTTTATATATATAGATTAGAGAAGATTTTAGATTAGTTCTAAAAGTATTTAGTGGCCTAAAATAAATCTAATCTATTTTATATTAAAGAGGAGAACTATTTATTAATTTTATAAAAGTATTTAATAGCCTATAAAGAAAATATCTAGCTTTTACTAATTAATAAGCAATTAGCCATTTAATTATTTATCTATTTAATTTCTATTATTCTTTAAAAACCAACTTTTTCGGCCCTAAAACTACTTTCTTAGAAACTATCTTTTCTATTTATATAATACCCGAATTTATAGGACCTTCTTTCTGAAATATATATCTTATATATGCCCTTAAAGCTCTTTAACTATAACTTCGATTTTTCTATTAAATCGAGCCCTTTAAGCTTTAAATCCTCCCGGAATTATAATATTTTATTTCCTAAATTTCTTATTATAGTCGAAATTTTTAAGGGCGAAATATTTACTTTAATATTCTAATATCTTTATTACTGAACTCTTTATATAAACCTACTACAAATTACCTTACCTTTAAATCCCTCTTACTATAAATTATATATATATATTAGAAAGAAACTAAACTCGACTTAGTATAAATACTAATAAAAAAAAGAAACTAATTAAAAAATAGAAGAATAATATTAATCCCGTAATTATAATAAAGAATAATCTTTAGAAATATTTAATTACTAAGATATATTAATATATCTTATATAAAAAGAGTAATAATAATCTATAGAATCTATTCTAGAATAATTTTAAAAACTTTAATATTATAGTATTTAGTTAAATTAGTTATATACTATTATAAAGTTTCGAGTCCAATTTTAGTATAATAATATCTATATTAAATAGAATTATAAGAACCTTATTATTATATAATTCCTTATTAATCTTATTTAAAAGGAAATAAAATATATATAAAATAAAGCTAATATTATTAAAAATAGTTTAATTAGATTAGATCTTTTTAGGGATCTATTATATTAGTTTATTTTATTCTAAATAAAACTAAATATAAGAGAATTAGATATTCTTAATTAAGAAATCAAGCTATTTTTTTTTTTCTAAATTAAAGCTATTTACTACTTTTATTTTTATTACTACTATTATTACTATTAAGTTCGAAAATTTATTAATTAGTATTTACTATTATTATTAGGAAGCTTATTAGGAAAATAGTAAAGATATATTCTAAAATATAGAAATATAATAGATCTAATAATAGTTTTAATTATAAACTTACTATTTTTTTTTAATATTTACTAATATATAAAGCTTTTTTTACTATATTAAAGGAACTAATATAAGACTACTTTTATAATAACTAGCTCTTTTAATATATATATATAAAGGCCTATATAAATATTTATAGCTTCTTTAAAGGCCCCAGTTTTTATTATTAAAATTTAGATAAATGAAATACTATTACTTTAGTTATTATAATAATTAAATATCCTAAAAAGATAATATTTGAGCTTATTTAAATACTAATTAATAACCTATATTAATTATAATATAGCCTTATTTCTACTTTATAAAATACCGAATTCTTATATAATAAAATTATTATTTTCTATTAAGGCTTACTAATATACTAATATATAATTTCGGACTCTTCTAATAAACTCGGCTAGCTTATTAATAAGCTCTAATTATTAATTACTATTTATAAGAAGAAATAATAGATTAATATTGAAATCTACTTTATTAATTAATAATACTATTTTTAAAACCCTTTAAACTATTATTTATCCGAAAATTATTAATATAGATCTAGCTATAATTTCGGAACCTATAATAACTATTTCCAGTTCTATAATTATAATAATTATATTTCGAAGTTATATTTTATATATAAGAGATTCGAATACTATTTATAGAAATATATATTAGAGAAATAAAAGACTAAAAATATTACGGATATAGTATTTAGGGCTTAGAAAGTAAGATAGAAGATCTCTTATAAAAACGATTTAAAGCTAAGAAAGGGAAAACTAGAATATAGAAGGCTATAAAAAAGTATATATATTCTATAATATACTAGTCTATAAGGGGTTTAGCCTTCTAAATATCTCTAATATATTTTAAATATACTTTTCTAGTAAAGTAGCCGTATTATATATATCTAGAAAGCAAATAATAAAATATAGATAATAAGATATAAATAATTATATTAGGTAATTATATTAGCTAATAAGATTAAAAGCTAAATTATAATATTATTCTTTTATTTGAAATAAGCTTATTTCCGAGCTTTATAAAAGCCATTAATTTATTTAATTTCATATTATTTTTCTTTCTAAAGTAAACTAGTATTTCAGATATAGATATTATATATAAAAGACAAATGCTTTTAATATATAACTTAAAAGAATTTATTATTATTTCTATATAGTTTCGGGCAAGTATTATTTTTTATATAATTTAGCTAATATTATAAGTTTTATAAAGGTTCTAGTATATTAATATTATTATTATAGAAGCTCTATAAAACCAGGAAACTATTATTTAGTACTAAAGCTAGATATTATACTAGATTCTATACTTTAGTTTATTTTTTACTAGCTTAATTATAATAATTCATTTAATACTATATTTTTATTTACTATTTTCTAGTATTAATAGAGGTAATTCCGGATTTATTTAATCTAATAAAGAATTCTAAGAATTCTTTTATAGCTTCTTTATATAAAAGACTAGATATATTTTTATAATTTCTTATAGCTTTAAAAGAAATAAATAGCTATATTTTTCTAGAA